GGGTGCGTAGGGCGATAAATGCATCTCTTCCTTTGCCTTCAACATTAATGGCTCGTAGTGTCGCCTCGGCCTGGGTATTGCCCACGATGAATTTTCGCAAGAGGACTAAAACTTTGGCGTTGTCCATTGTGAAGGCTTCGCCGTGGAGTGGTGCCATTTGGATGTACATCTCTAGGAAGTCTTCGTGGTATGTCGGAACTGGCGCTTCGTTGGTTCGGACCACATATTGGAGCGGGACTCCGTCTCGTCCTGGCATGGTACGGAGGTAGTTCACAAACGTGGGGTGCCAATCCTCCCATGTGACGTCGTTGGTGAAGTCTTGAGGTAGCGCTTGTTGTGACATCAGCTTGGAACCATACACATATTGCTCGTGTGTTTTCATGCGTCGAAGGAGGTGGGCTGCATCAATGACTGGAAATTGTACTGTTGCTGGGTCCCGTCCCATGCGGAATTCGTCCCTGCACCATTGGACGAAGGCGCGAATATTTTTCTTGATGCCAGGCATCAATCGAATTTGCCCTTGTGCAGTAGTCATTCCTGCCAGTGTTTTGAGTTCGTCGTTAAGTTTGTCAATGGATACATCCATTGTAATGTTAAAATCATCAGAGAATATTTCGTAAGCAATTCTCTCAGCTTGCGTGCGTCCTTGGAATAGGGTTGCATCGTTAATGCCACAAATGACCATATTATCATGAACGGTGAAGAGAGGAGGGATGGCGGCCATGGTGCCTATATCAATGTCGTACATCGTATCGTTAGTTAAAGTTTTCTTTTTTTTTCTTTTCTTCTTTTTGTTAAAGGCTACAGTTTTCGTTGGTGTTGCGGCACCCATCAAAGCAGTTTTCGTTGGTGTTGCAGCACCCATCAAAGCAGTTTTCGTTGGTGTTGCGGCACCCATCAAAGCAGTTTTCGTTGGTGTTGCTGCACCCATCAAAACAGTTTTCGTTGGTGTTGCGGCACCCATCAGTCTTTGTTGGTGTTGCGGCACCCATCAAAGCAGTTTTCGTTGGTGTTGCAGCACCCATC